AGCAGGAGGATCACTTGAGGCCAGGAGTTCAAGACCAGCTTGGGCAACATGGTGAGACCTCATCTCTACAAAAGATAAAAAATTTAACTGGGCATGGTGGCATGTGCCTGTAGTCTCAGCTACTTGGGAGACTGAGGCAGGATGATCACCTGAGCTCAGGAGGTTGAGGCTGCGGTGAGCTGTGATCATGCTACTGCACTCCAGTCTGGGCAGTGGAGTGATACCCAAACTCAAAACACACTAACAAAAAAAGAATGAAATCTTGTCATTTGCAGCAACATGGATGGAACTGAAGATCACTATGTTAGGTGAAATAAGCCAGGGACAGAAAGACAGATATCATTTGTTCTCATATTTGGGAGCTACAAAAGTGGATCACCTGGAGATAAAGAGTGCAAAGATAGATACCAGAGACTTGGGAGGGTTTTTAGGTAGGAGGAAGGGATGAAGAGAAGTTATTAATGGATATAAACATACAGTTAGATAAAAGGAATGTTATAATGTGTGATAGTAGTGCAGGGTGACTATAGTTAGCAACAATTACTGTATTTTTCAAAATAGCTAGAAAACCTGAAATGTACCCAACACATAGAAATAATAAATGCTCATGTGATGGATAACCTAAATACCCGGAGTTTTTTTATTATATACTCTATTCATGTAACAAAATTCCACTTGTATCCCATAAACACAAACAAATATAATGTATCAAAAGCATTGTCTTTGAAAAGATTGTTTTTACTTATAAATAATTGTTAATGTTGTTCACTAATAATATGAAAAGGCCAAATAATTAATCAAGTGAACTCAAAAACAAACAAACAAACAAAAAAAACCCCAGCCAGGCATGATGGCTCAAGTTTGTAATCCCAGCACTTTGGGAGTCTGAGGTAAGGGGATTGCCTGAGCCCATGGGATCAAGAGCAGCCTGGGCAACTTGGCGAGACCTCATCTCGACAATAAATCAAAAAATTAGTCAGGCATGATAGTGTGTGCCTGTAGTTCCAGCTACTTGGAACGCTGAGATGGAAGGATCACCTTAGCGCAGCAGGTCAACACTGGGGTGACCGTGAACATGCCATGCTCTCCTGGCAACAGAGTGAAACTCCAGCACAAAAACAAAAACAAAAACCCAAACTTTCTTATACTATTCATTCATTCATTCATTTACTTGTTTGCTTGTTTGTTTATTTATTTATTTTTTGAGTTGGAGTCTCACTCGGTCGCCCAGAGTGGAGTGCAGTGGCCGCTCCCGGCTACCGTAGCCTTGACCTGCTGTGCTCCAGTGATCCTTCCTCCTCAGCCTTCCGAGTAGCCGGAACTACAGGCGTGCGCTACCACGCCCGGCTGATTTTTTAATTTATTGTAGAGATGAGGTCTCGCTGCCCAGGTGGGTCTCGACAGGAGTGAGTAAAAAAAAAAATTGTTTGTATGATGTGAAATATTCAGGGAAAGAAAAAAGTCAATAGAGGCTAGTGAATACCTCACTCTTTGTACCATACCCTTGTTCACTCCTTGATTTGGAATATACCTTATGCCTCTTCTGTTTCCTTCCCCTCCCTTCTCTCTACTATCTTCTTTTTTCTCACAGTCCCAACTCAAAATCCTGTTGTTGTTTTTATTCCAGGACCCAGCTCAAATTTCACCTATTTATTGAGTATATTTAAACTTTGAATAATAAATATTAAAATATATCTTGACAGCATTAGACAAGTTTCATAACTTAGGACAAGCAGTCACTGAACAGTCCACAGTTTTTAATGCAGGGATTAGTTAGTAAAGAAGTACACTTTGTTATAGTTGCAGTTTCCTGATGTTTTGTGGTAAGTTGTTGGCATTCAAAACGTTTCTGATTTTGAAGTATTATATATTTTGCATTTTTGGATTAGGGATACTCAACCTATATTTCAAACTATTTTGTCTTTCAATAATTTTTTATCTTAGATATATAAAAGACATTCTTTCCCCCCAGAAAATCATTTATCTTTATATGTAAATCTTTTTTTTTAAGTAGGGAATAATAAAACATCTGCGAATTACTGGAAATGGTTTTATAGCACTGTGAAATATATTTCATGATTATGAATTTGTTTCCGCCTGAAAAAGATTCTGAATATGGAGATATACATTTTCAACCAAAGTTAAACTCTCATTATCTAAACATTAAGATTCCATTATCCCACCATAGTTCTGCTCTTGAAAGCAGTACAGGTAGAACAGTTATTAAAGTTCTGCTGCCTCAGCCCCTGAAATATGTATTGGTAAGCACTTATCGTTTATTAAGAAATAATTATTGAAAAGACAACAAATATGAACTGATGGGAAAGATTTAGAAATATATAATTTTAAAAATAATCTAGAAAAATATATAAGGATACTATATACTTACAGCTGATATTTTAAAAGTTGAACTGACAGTTGATAATTGTGTCAACTGAGACCACTGGGAAGCAGATATTGAGATAGCATTCAGAGTTCAAGTGGCTTATTTAGAGGGGCTAATACCTGAGAAAGGAAGGCAGGGAGGAAGAACAATTGGGCAAGGATAGCCTAGTCCTCAATGCAGCTCTGACAAAAACTCTCCCAGTGAAGAGTTCTGGAGCAGTTTCAAGACTCTTATGTTGGACTGTTATGTCCAGACATTGACTGGAGGCTGCCTGAGAAGACAGTGGTCTCAGCTCAAAATCTGAAGCAGATTCTAAAGATGTAGTTTGCAACTGCCAACTGACTGTACTCCTTGCACTGGAATAGCCAGTTCTTTGTTCAAGGAGATATGAGCGGCACCTCCAAGATGGCCACAATGATAATATTAGTAGCTATCATTGAGGATCTCCCGCTCTCCAGATACCATAGTTGCTCTTTACATGTATTATGTGTAACCCTTGCATAACTATCCTTAGAGGTAGAATAATCCTCATTGGTCACGTGAGAAAACTAAAAGATTACATAGTTAGCAAGTTAGAGAGCTCATATGTTCAGTGTGCCAGGTAAATATACCCATAAAAAACTTTCTTTGAGTTGAGATCACACTCTGTGGCGTGGGCTGGAGTGCAGTGGCTCAATTACAGCTCACGACAGCCTTGACTTCCTTATCTCAGGTGATCCTTCCCCCTGAACCTTCTGAGTAACTGGGACTTCAGGTGTGCACTACCATGCCTGGTTAATTTTTAATTTTTTTTTTTTAGAAACAGGATCTCACTGTTGCCTAGACTTGTCTCGAACTCCTGGGCTTAAGCGATCGTCTCACTTTGGCTTCCTGTAGTGCTGGGATTACAGATATGAGCCACCACACCTGGCCCCATAAAATTTTTTGATTAAAATGTTCCTCATGAACTATTCCAAATTATGTCTGGTACCAACAACTTGTTTAAGAACTTTTAAGCCAGAAGAGAAAGGGTGAATGAAAAGAAAAGGGAAAAAGAAAACACAAATTTTCTTATGATGTTCAAGTTTTATCTCGAAGTTTGGGTTCTAGATATGACATCACAAAACAGATACCTATTCAGAAACAGATTTATCAGAAGTACATGGTTGTTTCGTAGAATCCAAGGGTTGAAAAGGCAGCTGATTATGTGATGATGCCCTGCACCACCCTGGGACTCTGTAGAGAGTTCCCACAAGTAAGAAGGTCCTCACCAGATGAACCCCTTGATCTTGGACTTCCCAGCCTCCAGACCGTAAGAAATAAATTATTTTTCATTATACATTTTTTTTTAAGGCAACTGATTGCTAGAAGCAAAGCTGCCTGTTTCTGTCTCTTTGACTATCCATCACTCTTTCTTTCTGCTGTAACTTTCTACCTGTTTTCTTTATTTATACTGTCCTGGATTTTGTCTCTCTCAGGCTCAAGCTCTGTCTCTTATCCCTGTTTTTGTCTGGATCTTTCTCACTGTCCTCTGCTCACAGTTTGTGTTCTTTGGCTTTTTTCTTCCTTCCTCTCTCCTCAGTCTTCCTCAATTTTTCTCTTCTCTTCTGTCTTTTGCCTCTCCATCCTCTCTTTTACTCCTCCTCTCCCCTACCTCCTCCCTTATTGCCCCTCTCTTCCTCCCTCCTCCCTTTCTCCTTCTTTCTTTTTTGATTTATCTTTCTCTCTTTCTGTCACTTTCTTTAGCTCTTGGATCTTGTCTGTTTCTCTTCTTGCTCTATCTCTCACTCTTTCTTTGTCTACCTGTCTCTCTCTGCCTCTTTGCATCTTCAAGGTTTAGAAAATGAGTCTGTGTCCTACTTTATAATTTATTTAACTTTAATGTTTTATAAATGAAAGTATTTCTCTATATTTAAACTTACAAAATTTAAATCAATTATTCTTGCTACACATATGTTTTTAACAGCTTCAGAAATAATTTATAATCTCTTTCCATAAAAAGTGCAATCACACTTTGGGGGGCTGAGGTGAGAGGATTGCCTGAACCCGGGGGTTCGTGACCAGGCTGGGCAACTTGGTGAGACCTCATCTCTACAATAACATTTAAAAATTAGCCAGTCATGGTAGTACGTGCCTGTAGTTCTGGCTACTTAGAAGGCTGAGATGGAAGAATCACCTGAGCCCAGCAGTTGACGCTAGGGTGACCATGAGCATGCCATTGCACTCCAGCCTGGGTGATATAGTGAGACTCCAACTCAAAAAAAAAAAATACAGTCATATACTAGAAATTAAATAAATGCTGAAAGTAAAATATGTTGCTTAGCAGTCAACAAAGATAACCAAAGCGTCATTTCCTAATTCAGCACTCTAATTAGCTTTTCTCCCTAAATTAATAGTAATTTCAGCCAAAGTATTCCCATATAGTTGTTATGTCTTGGACATTGTTTGACCTAGCTCAAGTGAGAAAATTCTTTAGTTTCCTCTCAAGTAGTTTAAAATTTAATTAACAGATTAAAGATTTTTCAGAACACTGCACATTATGGTCTAATGAACTAACTTTAAATTGTAATTTTACTATGTTAAAATAGTTTATTTCTTTCTGATAGTCGATCTCTACTTTATAAAATATTTATAGAAAACAAGTTCAAGTACTTCTGATAAGAAAAGTAGAGGTCTGTTAACAAGTACTCCATCTTCGGAGACAGCTGATTTTGTGGTGAGTATTAGCATTTGGTACTTGTGTCTGTTTTCTGGTTCCTCCTCTCCCCATTCTTCTATTTTTGTCATAGTAGGGGAATATTGCCTATAGAGAATAATATCTGTGTTTTTCTATCACATAAGCATACATTCATGAGAAGTACTCTATATGCTGCTATATATGTAAGGGAGAAGGGAAGAGAAAAATACTTTAGCACCAACCAGGGTTCTTTTTTTACCTTCATTTTAAAAAATTGTGGTGAAATATACATAACATAAAATTTAGAATTTAAACTATTTTAAGTGCACTATTTAGGTACATTTACATTGTTATGCAACCATCACCACCAGCCATCTCTAGGACTTTTTTCACTTATTGCAAAACTGAAATTCCATTATGCAATAACTGCCTCTTCCTCCCTGCCTCAGCCACTGGCAGCCAGCATTCTGTCTAGAATTTGGTTACTCTCGGTACTTCATTTTAATGGAATCATGTGGTATTTGACTAGCTTATGTCACTCAGCACGACTTCTTCAGGTTCATCTTTGTTATAGCATGTGTCAGAATTTTCTCTCTCTTTAAGGCTGAATTAATATTCCATTGTGTGTATATGTCACATATTGTTTATCCATTCATCCATGATGGATGCTTGGGTGGTTTCTACCTTTTGGGTATTGTGAATAATGCTGCTATGAACATGAGTTCATAGCATGTTTAAGTTCTTGCTTTCAGTTCTTTTGGACATATATCTAGAAGTAGAATTGCTAGGTCGTATGGTAGTTATCTTTTTAACTTTTTGAGAAACCATCACACTTTTTTCCATAGCAGCTATACCGTTTTATATTCCCACTAGCAAAATGCACAAGGGTTCCAATTTTTCTACATCACACCAACACTTGTTATTTTCTTTTTGTTTGCTAAAAGTCATCCCTATGGGTGTGAGGTAGTATCTCATTGTGGTTTGGATTTGCATTTCCCTAATGATTAGTGATATTGGCAAGCATCTTCTTTTGAAAAATGTGTATTCAAGTCCTTTGCTCATTTTTTTCACTAGACAATTAATTAAACTTTTATTGAAGCTTAAATTGTGATGCAGAAATACATTTCAACTAATTTAAATCCAACACCAATGAAGGGAGAAACAATGGCACCAAAACTTTCCCTCCTCTATCGTATTAATATTAATTTAGATCACTATTTAGTCTACAGTTTTCATTCTTCTAGGTTTTATTCTACACAAATCTGTGCAGGTTTATTATGATAATTCTTAAATCTATTAGGAAAAAAACAGACCTCAAGCCAACAAACATCAAATCCACTGGAATCCTGTTCAGGAACAAAATGCACTGTGAGCACTGGTCCTCAAAACAGTGTGCCTCAAAATACTAAGTGCTGTGCTCATTATAGAATCAAACTGGTTGCATTGATTGAAAACTTCCTCAGTGAAACTTTCAGTCGACAGCATGTTTAAAATAAAAGTCAAACAGTTTTCCAATCACTTGATTCAAACCAAGTACATTTTATGTTTAGAAACACTGAAAAAGTGTTTTATTTATAAATACAGAAGGAATAAAACATCACTGCATCAATCCAGAAATTACCAAATATTGTGAGGACAAAAAATACGAAATTTAATCACTTTTGCTCTTCTCAATTCCTTAAACCTCACAGTATTTGCAAGTTTAGGTAAAAGGTATTAACTCTTGAAAGCCTGTATTTCTAGTAATTTACTATTGAGCATTTTGAAATTTATGTTTTTCTTATCCATTCATTCATATACTCTGCCTCATGGTGTTTATCTGAATAACCTGAACAGTTCTCATTCTGGGCAATCATTCATCTGATCCTTGTAAATGTCATAGTGAAAGGAACACCATAGTGGAGAAACATGCGAAGTCAGAATACTCATGTGCACCACAGTTATAGAACTTTAAAGTCACAAGATGAAAAAGATATGTATTCTTCTTTGAACCAAAGTTTACAGTATACTATTAATGGAAATTAGTGGAAATGGCTGCTAATGTAAAAGTTAAGGTGAATGATCCAAATTGACTTTATTTATGGAAGTCAGTACAACCTTTGTGTTAAATCTCACTGGGAATCAGCTAAATAAAATTCTTCAAAAGTATGTCCCACTCAGCTCTTGGGATAGTGTGAGGATCCCCAGATCTTTGGTTTGCATCAGATTGCTGCCAAGAGAACTAAACCTCCAGCAGCTTTTCAATCCTTTCAGAAAAAGATGTACAGCTTCCTTCACCATGAGATTAGTAAACGACCTATTTAGTAAGTTAGTAAAGGCATGGTACTCATTAGTAACTAATCTCATTTACTGCGGAACAAAAAATTGAATATGGTTTCCCCAGTTCAGCTAGCACACCCCAATCTCAATCTGTAACTGCGTTTTCTCCACTAATCAACTCATTATCTTAAAAAAAAAAAATCCATGCCAATAGAAAAGAGGCCAAATTTCTATGCCCTTAAAAGAAAATTAAACCCAGAAATTACCAAATATTGTGAGGACCATCTCCTTCATTCTCTGTCTGGGGTATAAGATTAGTATAAACCCACAGTGCTAACAGAGTATTGCTTTATTTGTGGGACTTGAAGGAAACATCATGGTGAGAAAAGAAATCAATTAAAGAACTACAAATGCAGGGATAGATAATGTTAAAATAAAACAGAATGAAAACTGGAATCATTTTCTTTCATCTTTTCTTTTTTTATGTTGCCGAGACTGGCACTCTGATGGCCATCCCAGTATTGACCTGCTGGGCTCAGGCGATCCTTCCACCTCAGTCTTCCAAGTAGCTGGAACTACTGGCGCATGCTACCACACCCGGCTAATTTTTTTGATTTATTGTAGAGATGAGGTCTCGCCAAGTTGCCCAGTCCGTTCTTGAACCACAAACTCAGACGATCCGCTCACCTCGGCCTCCCAAAGTTCTGGGATTACAGGCTTAAGCCACTGCGTTCGACTGAAATCATTTTCTTTAGAGGACTCAACTCGTGGAAGAAAGACCTTAATTGCTATTACAAAAAACATCAGTATGAAGTAGAAACTGGTTTCAATAACATTAGTAAAGAATATGTTATAGAAAGTGGAGGTAACTAGTTATAAAATTCTGGCAGCAATTTAATAGAACAGTCCCAGATGGTTAGACTGAGGCCAACACCTAATGAGGATGAAAGCCTTGTCTCTGGGGAATTTTGGACGTTACCTGGAAAAATATTACACTGTGCATAAGCCAATTTGAGTTTTAACAAATGTCTTAATGTTTCATATACTAAAAGGTTTTTTCTATATGTACTTCAGTTTCATAGCAAGAACGGCAGACAATACCTAAACACAGAAGAAAACATTCATGCAAGATATCTAATTCCTTGATATGATAATGCATACAACTCAAAGTGATTATGCTATCATTACATCTAGTGCTTTCTGCAGCTACAAAGTGGTGGTTATAGAAAGCATGGCCCCCAGTAACAAATCTAGAAAACAGCCACCATCTTCTATATATATTCTCTTTTTGTGTTTTTTCTTCATTTTTCTTAATCAACGCTGATGTTTCTTAACAAAAGTGGTAAAAACAAAATCGTAGCCATTGAACATAGCATTCTGGCAATCAAGATGGTTAAAGCCTTCAATCTTCTGGGACAAAGCATGTTGCAACATTTAGAACCCTGATTAACAAACAAGATGTTCACAAGTGTTCCTGGTTTGAAAACTTCCACAACTTTCCTAATCAGGTCATCATAGGAGGTCTGACTGAAGTTTGTTTCAAAGATGACATAAGAAAATTCTGCTGGATGTGGTGGCTCACACCCTGTAATCCCAGCACTTTGGGCAGCCAAGGCAGGAGGATTGCTTGAGCCCAGGAGTTCAAGACAACCTGGGCAACATTGGAAGACCTTGTCTCTGGAAAAAAAAAAAAGTTAAGAAATTCTATTTCTTCCTGGAAATTCCAATATGCATCTGTTGGTGACAAGGCTTCATGAAATTCTTAGAATAAAAGAAGTTTTGAATTAAGTCCAACACACTATAATCCCTAGTAAACTTCAACAGGGGAATCAGTGCTTTCATCAAAAAGGTAGTACCACGTATCTTCAAAATGAAATTGCTCTTGGAGACAAACATGCTCCTTTCACTGAGACACAAGCTTTCTGCTTGTCAGTTTTTGTCACACTTAAAATTGAACATGTGTATCCTTCAAAAGTATGTCCTGCTCAGATCTTGGGATAGTGTGAAGATCCCCAGATCCTTGGTTTGCATCAGGTTGCTGCCAGGAAAGCCAAACCTCCAGCAACTTTTCAATCTCTTTTTTTTTTTTTGAATTGGATTCTCACTCTGTCACCCAGACTGGAGTGCAGTGGCTGCTCCTGGCCACCGCAGCCTCGACCTGCTGGGCTCCGGCGATCCTTCCACCTCAGCCTTCCAAGTAGCTGGAACTACAGGCGCGCGCTACTACACCCGGCTAATTTTTGATTTGTTGTAGAGATGAGGTCTCGCCAAGTTGCCCAGGAGGGTCTCGAACCCGCGGTCTCAGGCAGTCCACTCACCTCGGGATTACAGGCTGAGCCACCGAGCAGTCCCTTTTTAAAAATGTCTAGTTTCTATCATGAGACTACTGAAAAACTAACAACCAAGGAAAATCAAGTAAATTAAACCTCTTCTCCCACCACAGTCATCGATCGGTGCTGTGGATTGTTCCAGCTGTGTATTAAAGTTCAGTTTCCTTTTTTTTTTAACTTTTATTTTCAAAAGGACTAATAAAAATTTCCTAACTCTTTGTGAGGAACAGATGAACGTGAGTCTGTCAGAAATAGACGCATGATATAGTTCAGTCTCTTGTAGTCCATTGCTTCCCCATTAGAGAGAACAGTAAGCTCTAGCTAATGTCGCTGGCCATACTGTGTAAGCCTCTTTGCTCAATTTTGAAATTTTAAAAAAATGTTGAGCTGTATGAATTCTTTATATATTCTGGATGTTAACTCATTATCAGATAGATGATTTACAAATAATTACTCCCATTCCATAGGTTGCCTTTTCACTCTGTTGATAGTGTTTCTTTGATGCAGGGCAGCATCAGGTTTTCCTCTTCAGTGGGAGCAATCCTCACAGAGGTCCATGCAGCAGCTTACATGGCAGTATGAGACAACTCAGGTGCAAGGAGATGAGATCTAGTATCTCTTATAACAATACACATACATAGCTTCCATGGTTCCCACAAAGGACATGCATAATAATAATAATAATAATTATTATTATTATTATTTTTGAGTTGAAGTCTCACTCCATCACCTGGGCTGGAGTGCAGTGGCATCCTCAAGGCCACCGCAGCATCGACCTGCTGGGCACAGGCAATCCCTCCGCCTCAGCTTCCAAGTAGCCAGAACTACAGGCGCGTACTACCACGCCCGGCTAATTTTTTTATTTATTGTAGAGATGAGGTCTCGCCAAATCGTCCAGGTTGTTCTCGGACCTGTGGACTCAGGCATTCCCCTCACCTCAGCCTCCCGTAGTGCTGGGATTACAGGCTTGAACCACCGCTCCTGGCCAACATGCATAATTATAAGAGTACCAGCACTTAGGGAAGCTCAAAACATGTTTTTTTGTTTTTGTTTGTTTGTTTTTGAGTCAAAGTCTCACTGTCACCCAGGCTGGAGTGCAGTGGCACCATCATGGCTACCATAACCTCAATCTGATGGGCTCAGGTGATTCTTCTGCCTCATTCTTCCAAGTAGCCAGGTCGACAACGGTGTGCCACCACACCCAGCTAATTATTTTGATTTGCTGTATAGATGAGGTCTCCCCGTGTTGCCTAGGCTGATCTAGGGTGAGGCAGTCCTCTTCCTTTGGCCTCCCAAAGTGCTGGGATTACAGGCATGAGCCACCACACTAGGCCTATGGCATCTTTTGTAGTATAGAATTTCTATATTTATATTTGCATAATTTATGTTTCTTCTCAGAGATACAGTTTTCCAATCAGACATTACTTTTATCCTAAGCAATGTTGCCTAGTTTCCTAGTAACACAGTTGACCTTATCAGGTTCCTAGGGGAATAGAGTCTCAGAATTAATCAAAGATCAGATACACATTACAGGGGGAAAGATTTGGTTAACAATCTACCAATAATCTTTCCAGTGTCCTAAAATCAATACTTTTTTCCAGAAAATGAATGTTTAACTTTTAATTCATTCTTGGTTAATATCTGAGGCTAAAATGTATAGATGTGAAATAAATGTACCAAAATGATTTTTCCCCATAAACTAATTTAGTGATTATTTTGCAAGAGCCCAGGAGTCCAAGACCAGCCTAGGCAATATAGTGAGGTCTCGTCTCTACAAAAAAATTTTTAAAAGTTAACCAGGCATGGTGGTGCGCACCTGTATTCCCAGCTACTCAAAAGGCTGAGGTGCAAAGAACACCTGAGTCTGGCAAGTTGAGGCTGTGGTGAGTCATGATTGTGCCACTGCACTCCAGCCTTGGTGGCAAAGTGAGACTTCAACAAAGAAAAAAGACAAAAACATTTTCATCATCCCATTAACAGTAGGTCATTCTCCATTCTCCCATCCCACCCTCCAGTCACTAGAAACTACTAGTTTACTTCATGTCTCTATAATATGTTTGCCCTTTCTGAGTATTTTATATGAGTGGAATCATATAACATGGCCTTTTGCGTCCGGTGTCTTTCACATAGCATGATGTTTTCAAAGTTCATCCTTGTTATGGAATGTATCAGTACTTCATTCCTTTTTTATGATAGAATAATATTCCATTATATAGATGTCATATTTTGTTTACGAGTTCAGTTTATGGGCATTTGGATTATTTTCCACTTTTTATCTGTTGTGAATAATACTGCTGTGAACATTTTGCATATCAGTCTTATGTGGACATGTATTTTTAATTGTCTTAAATGTATACAGTAATTCCTCAGTATCGTGGGGTATTGGTTCCAGGACTTCTTGAAGATACTGAAATTAACAGATGCTCAAGTCTCTGCTAAGTGGTATAATGCTGTATTTGCATATAGCATATGCACATCCTCCCCTATATTTTAAATAATCTAATACCTAATGCAATGCAAATGCTAAAAGCCTGTAATTGTTTGGGGAATAATGACAAGAGAAAAAAGCCTGTACATATTCAGTACAGATACATATATATTTTAAATATTTTGGTTGGTTGAATTCATGGTTGTAGAACCCATGGATACAGAAGGCAGACTGTATCTGGAAGAAGAAGTAGAATTGCTGGCTTATATGATAACTATATGTTTAACACTTTTTTGTAATGAACTTTTTAAAAACAGTTTTGTTGAAGTACAATGCGTATACTGTACAACTCACCTAGTTAAGATATACTATTCACAAGTTTTTAGTATATTCACAAGCATAACTTTCCTTACCACAGTCAATTTAGAACATTTTTATCACCTCGAAAAGAAACTCCATTCCTCAACTGAAGTAGTTAACATTCCCCTGCTCCTCCATCCTACTCCCAAGTCCTAAGCAACCACTAATCTACTTTCTGTCTCTATAGATTGCCATTTTTTGGACATTTTATATGAATGGACTCAGATAATATGTGGTTTTTGGGATTGACTTCTTTCACTCTACATAGTGTTTTTAAGATTCATCTGTATAGCAACATATATCAGTACTTCAGTTTTTCGGGGTTAAATAATATTCCATTGCATTAATGAAAGTTTGGATTGTTTCTGCCTTTGACTATTATGAATAATATTCCTTTTAACATTTATGTACAAGGTTTTGTGAAGACATATGTTTTCATGTCTCTTTGATAAATACCTAAGAGTAGAATTTCTGGGTTATATGGTAACTAATTTGAGGAACTGCCAGACTGTTTTCCAATGTTGCTGAACAAGTTTACATTTCCAGCAGCAATGTATGAGTATTCTGATTTTTTTTTTAACATTCTCACCAACACTTGTCAGCATCCATGTATTTAGATATAAAGTGGTATTTCATTGAGATTTTGCATTTGGACTTGCTGGCCACTTGTATATCTTTTTTAAAGAAATGTCTATTCAGGTCCTTTGCCCATTCAAAAATTAAATTATGTGTCTTTTTATGATTGAGTTGTAGGAGTTCTTTATATATTCTGGATACTATACCCTTATCAGATAGATGATTTGCAGATATTTTCTCCCATTCTGTTGGGTAAACACTAGCACATTTTAATAAATAATAATGCCTTTTAGAACACTTAATGACTTGACATTTTAAGGTCCAAATTCTGTTTCCAAATTTGTCTGAAACTAATTGCTCTTTGGTTCATTCTACAGCTTGCTGCCACCAAATGAGTCACGTAGATTCCCCCTCAATTGTAAGCTGTCAGATGTTGTCTGGCCATCCTAAAATAAAGGCTAGTCAAAAACCTCTGAGTCCCACTTTAATGTATCCATTATCCAGGGTCCCACTTTAATGTATCTTTCTTTCTAAGACTGTTCTAAGATACACATGGATAGGCATGAAATTGTTCTGTCCTCCTAGGAGGAAGTTAGGCAAGAGCAGACACCTGCCAACCTCCACTCAGTGCATTTGATAATTCATTCTAGGTACCCATCCATGTTGTCTAGCCTAGCTTCAGGCCGGAAATTACCCTAGTCAGATCTAGCTGATCACTATGCCAAAGTTTCTTGGCGTTCTCATCTAGGGAGTCTGGATCATTGAATTTGATACAGAAATATATGGTGATTTTAGTAACCTGATAGAAATATGGATATGATGCTCAGGAGAGAGTTTTATATTAGAGATAGGGATTTTAAAATCTCTGCTGTTCAGTTGTAAGACAAGAAAAAATAATTATGGGCAGGATGTTGAGAAATTTACATTTTCAAGGAAGAGCTAGAGAAATCATTTGAGGAGGTATGATTGCTGGGTAGGTGAATTTTGTTTTGTTTGCATGAATGAATAGAAATAAAATTTATACCATAGCAAACAAAAATTTGTATTTTAAAAAATAACTTTATTTTGTATATCTAACCCTGAATTGTACCCCATGATTTTAATATTAAAAAAAACTTTAGAGTATTGTAACTATCTTTACATATTGATTTGTCCCCAGTTAAACGTGCATATTGTGAAGTTATTTCCAAATGTCAGTAGTTATTTAGATGAAATTTTTGTGTGTCAAGTTTATGAAAAAATGCTTCCAATGAAATCGTATTTTCAACTTCCCTTTAATTACCTAAAAATAATTGTTTTTGCAACATTTAGCTTCTACAAAAGAGTAATATAATCTTTTATAGGTTGATTTGTCCTCAGTGCAAAAACCATCTTTTGAAGAACTGTTTCCAAATGTCAGCAACTATGTTAATTCAAATGAAATTGTTCCTGTGTCAAGTTTGCAAGAAAGTTTTTCAAATGAGGTAGTATTTTCAATTTTTTCTTTCAATTACTAAAAGAAATAATTATTGCCATGTTAGATACTTTGTGTATGAGATAACATTAAGAAATCTGAAACTCGGTTGAGGTTAACATTATCTATGTATATGTGAAGCAGAATCCCTTATCAGACACATAATTTGCAAATATTTTTCTCATTCTGTGGGCTACTCTTTTACTGTGTTTGATGGGGTCTTTTGATGCACAAAATTGTAAAAATGTATGAAGTCCAGTTTTTCTATTTGTTGTTGTTATTGCTGTTGTTGTTTGTGCCTTTGGTGTCATGTATAAAAAAATCATTGCCAAATCAAGTGTCATGAAGCTTTTGCCTTATGTTTTCTTCGATGAGTTTTATTGTTTTAGGTCTCTTATGTAGGTCATTAACACGTTTTGAGTTAATTTTTGTTTTGGTTTGTTTTGAGTTGAGGTCTTACTCTGTTGCCCAGACTGAAGTGTAGTGGCACGATTACAGCTTACTGCAGCTTCACATCCCTGGGCTCACACCACCTTAGCCTCCTGAGTAGGTGGGACAACAGGTGTGCACCACTATGCCTGGCTAATTTTTTTATTTTGTAAAGACAAGGTCTCACTGTTACCTATGCTGGTCTCAAACTCCTGGGCTCAAGCGGTTTGCTCATCTTGGCCTCCCAAATTGCTGGTATTACAAGTATGAGCCACGGCATCTGGCCCATTTTGAGTTAAATTTTTGTGGTGTTAGGTAAGGGACCAACTTCATTGTTTTGCATGTGCATATTAAGTTTTCACAGCATCATTTGTTGAAAAGACCATCCTTTCCCTATTGAATGATCTGGCCAAGAATCACTTAACCATATGTGTGCAGGTTTATTTCTGAGTTCTCTATTCCAGTGTTCTGTATGTCTGTCTTTATGCCAGTACTATATTGTTTGGTTACTGTAGCTTTGTACATTTTGAAATCAGGAAGCTTGAATCTTTTAGCTTTGCTTTTCTTGTTCATAATTGTTCTGACTATTAGGGATCTCTTGAGATTCTATATGAAATTTAGGATGAGTTTTTCTATTTCTGCAAAAAAAATCATTGGAAACCCAAGAGAATCTGTCAAAAACCTCCTTGCACTGATAAAGGACCTTGGCAACGTCTCAGGGTGTAAAATAAACGTGCAATAGACAGTCGCATTCCTATACACCAACAATAAACAGAAACCCAAATAAAAAGCATAATCCCGTTCACAATAGCCACACAAAAAAGAGAAATACCTTGGCATCATCTTAACCAGAGAAGTGAAAGACTTTAATGATGAAAACTACAAAACACTGCTCAAAGAAGTCATAGATGACACAAACAAATGGAATAATATTCCATGCTTATGGACTGGAAGAATTAACATTGTGAAGATGTCCATCCTACCCAAGGCAATCTACAGATTTAATGCAATACCCATTAAATTACCAGCAGCATTCTTCTCAGACCTGGAAACAACAGTATAGGAATTCATATGGAAACATAAATGACCATGAATAGCCAAAATAATCATCAGGGAAAAAACAAAGAGGGGAGGTATCACACTCCCAGACTTTAAACTTTTTTTTTTTTTTTTTTGAGGTGGAGTCTCACTCTGTCGCCCAGACTGGAGTGCAGTCTCCCGGCCACTTCAGCCTCGACCAGCTGGGCTCCGGCAATCCTTCCGCCTCAGCCTTCCAAGTAGCTGGAACTTCAGGTGCGCGCTACCACACCCGGCTAATTTTTGATTTTTATTGTAGAGATGAGGTCTCACCAAGTTGCCCAGGTGGGTCTCGAACCCGCAGGCTCAGGCAATCCTCTCATCTCAGCCTCCCAAAGCGCGGGATTACAAGCTGAGCCACCGAGCCCGGCTTAAACTTTATTATAAAGCTACAATAATCAAAATAGCCTGATACTGGTACAAGAACAGGCATATAGACCAATGGAACAGTATAGAGATTCTGGAAGCAGAACCTCAATTTCTCAACCAACTCATCTTTGGCAAAGCCTCCACTATCAACCACTGAGGAGAGGAGAACCGATTCGGTAAATGGTGCTGGGAAAACTAGGTGGCCACATGCAGAAGATTAAAACAAGACTCCTACCTATCACCATACACAAAAATCAACTCTAAATTAATCAAAGACCTAAATATAAAACCTCAAACTATAAGAACCTTAGAAAATGCAGGAGTCATCCTTATGGAAATTGTAACTGGCAACCAATTCCTGATCAAAACCCCAAGTGCCCATATCATAAGAGATAAGATAGACAAGTGGGACCTCATCAAACTGACAAACTTCTGCAAGAGAAGAGAGCAGAGAGACATCTCGCAGACTGGGAAAAAATATTTGCCAACTGTATGTCTGACAAAGGCCTAACATTTCGGATCTAAAAGGAACTCATAAGTGCCAAAAAGAAAAAAACAAAGAGCCTCATTACAGAGTGAGCAAAATATATTAATAGACACTTCTCAAAAGAAGACATACAAGCAGCCAACAGATACATGAAAAAATGCTCAACTTCACTAGTCATCAAAGAATTGCAAATTAAAATCACACTGAGATACCACCTAACTACAGTCAGGATGGCCATCATCAACTCAAAAAACAACAGATGCTGGAGAGGATGCGGGGAAAAGGGAACACTTCTACACTGTTGACAGAAGTGTAAATTAGTACAACCTCTATGGAAAACAGTGTGGCAATTCCTAAAAGATCTAAAAATTGACCTTCCATATGACCCTGAAATTCCCCTGCTGAGAATATACCTGGAGACACTCAAATTACTCTATGAATAAGATACCTGCACACATGTTTATTGCAGCATTATTCATAATAGCAAAAACATGGAACCAACTATGCTGCCCATTGTAAGAGGACCGGATTTTTAAAATGTGGCACATATACATGATAGGATATTACACAGCCATAAAGAAGGACAAAATTATGAACTTTGTGGCAACTTGGAGAGATTTAAGAGTCTATAATACTGAGTGATCTATCACAGAAACAAGAACTGAGTACCACAAGTTCTTACTCACAAGCGAACCTTGAACAATTATCATAATACTGTAAGAAAGGGATTGGCAGTAGTGGGAAACTGCCAGTGAATGGAGAGGCTGGGCTTGGCAGTAGTGGGAAACTGCCAGGTTGGGAGGTAGGGGGGTGGGGAGCACACCTCATCAACAAGAGTACCTGCATAATGAACATTTGTATACCTAACCTGAAAACATTATTGGGATTTTGATAAGAATTGCATTGTGGACAACCCCTTCAGGTCCCCTTCCACTGTGGGAGCTTTTCTAACCTCTCAATAAATCCTGCTTAAAAAAAAAAAAAAAAGAATTGCATTGAATCTATAAATCACTTTAGGTCGTAATGATATCTTAACAATATTAAGCCTACTAATCTGTGAACATGGGATATGTTTCCATTTATATATGTTTTATTTAATTTGTTTCAGCAATGTTTTATAATTTTAATTGTACGAGTCTTTCACTTTTTGGGTTGGGTAAATTCCCAAGTATTTTTTTGATACTACTATAAATTGAGGCCAGGTATGGTGGCTCATACTCTGGGAGGCCACGATGAGAGAGTTGCTTGAGTCCAGGAGTTTGAGAACAGCCTGGGCAGCATAGAAAAACCTTGTCTCTACAAAAAAAAAATAAAAATTAGCCAGGCATGGCTCCTCAGGAGGCTGAGGTAGAAGGTTCACCTGAGCCCAGGAGTTTGTGGCTGTTGTGATTTGTGATAGTGCCACTACACCCCAGGCTGGTATCAGAGTGAGACTCTGATTCAAAAATAAATAAAATATGAATAAATAAATTGAATTATTTTTGGTAGCTTCTTTTCAGATTGTTCATTGTATTGTATAGAAATGCAACTAATTTTGGTGTGATGACTGTATGCTGCTAATTTGCTGAATTAATTTATTAGTTCTAATAGTGTTTTATGCAATCTTTAGGGTTTTCCACAATTATACCATATTATCTGTGAACACAGGTCATTTTACTTCTTTCTTTAGAATTTGGGTGCCTTTATTTTTTCCTTTTTCCGAATTTCTCTGGTTCAAGCTACCAGTACTATGTTGAAAAACAGGCATTCTTGCCTATGTTATTATCTTGTACTATATTGAAAATTAGGCATTCTTGCCTGTTTTATTATCTTGCAGGAAAATATTTTAATCTTTTATCATTTAGTATGACATTTACTGTGTGGTTTTCATATATAGCTTTTATTATGTTGTGGTATTTTCCTTCAATTCTGAGTTTATCAAGTGTTTTTATTATGAAAGGGTATTGAACTTTGTCAAATGCTTTTTCTGCTTCAGTTGAGAAAACCATATTTTTCACCTTAATTCTACTATCTGTGGTATATTACATTGATGGATTTTTTTTGTCTTGCTAAATTATCTATAAATATTGATTGTATTTTATATGTTGAACCATACTTGCATTTCCAGGAGTAAATCTTATTTGGCCATGGCCTATAATCCATTTAACATGTTGCTGAATTCAGTTTGCTAGTATTTTTACATCAGTGTTCATAATGGGTATTGGCTTGTCGTTTTCTTGCAGTGTTTTTTTTTTATAATCAATATTTTTTATTATCATATTGTGGGGTCCAGTTAAGGGTTAGGTATACAAATATGCTTCGTTCAGGCACCCTTGTTGATAAGTGGTGTCTCCCCGGCCCCAGACAGATATTTACTACCATTGATCCCATCTCCCTTCCCCCCCATAGTTTCCCACCACCGTCAGTCATTTTCTTATAGTATTACATTGGATGTTCA